ATATATATATAATCTTATTTTTTCCTATAAAAATTAAAATAATTAATTATAAAGTAGAGATTAAAATTCATTTTAAAACATACTTCCATACAAAATATTATCTTTTGTCAATGATTTAATGTATTTAATCCAAAAATATGTAGCAATAATCATATTGCAGACAGAGTGAGAAATAAGAAAACAACAATTCAAATCAGTGTGGATGCTCGCCTGCACAGCGCACAAATTCTCATGTGCGGCAACAATTTGAGCAGTGCGCAGCTTAGAGGGAACATTGGTCCCGAGTCTTCATCCCCTTTATGAAAATGAAAATAAAAAATTGATGGTGAGAATCAGAAAATGGATATAATGAATTTACTTTGGAAAAACTTTTGATTACATAAAGATACACACTTCATCGTAAAAGCCAAAATAATTCCATTTCTATTAGTTAATCATGAAAAATTGATTTAAAGTAAATATTTTCAAGAAAAAATTAAATACAATAAAACAAAAAAAACGATTTGATGAACGACATAAGTTTGTCTATAAAATACTTTCTCCTGCTCCTGCTACAATGAGAATAATTAATTTCTTACTGACAGTTGACTAAACTAAAGTATATAGTAGAATTTTAAAATATAAAATTTGGGGAATCAATCATCTTGAACCAACAAGTGCAGTTGTACCCCGAAAACCAGTGAATGATAAGCATAAACAGTCCTATTAATTACTTGAAATAGAATAAATAAGGAATAATAAAATTGCCTTGTATTTACAGGGTGGCTAATTAATAAATATTTTAAATTAGTTTACATATATTTAATATGACAATCTCATCATAATATGCATCTATTGCCACTGTCTATTCAAAGACAATAATTACATTTTGCAGTTTCTCTTCCTCATTTCGTTTGTTGCAGTTAGATTCTGATCTTGCTTTTCATTGTTTTTCTATTGACTGTTTTAAGACCAAATTATGTTATAGAAGCAATAATAAATAGTCATAAATAACTCAAAACCAATAAAAGGGCAGTAAAAAATTAATTAGTCAACTTAGTCAAAAAAACAATTGAAAGCTAAAGTAAAAATACTGTGCCAAGTAAAAATTATGGCACCCAAAATGAAAGTCAAATTTTTTCTTGGGAGCTTCTCTTTGGTACTTTGAAGGGATACCAAAAGTGTTTACTTTCCTGGTGCTATCCAATGACTAACTACAAGTGTTCGGTGGTTTTATTCACAAATAATTGTCCCATTATTTATTCACAAATAATAAGGCCCATTGGTGGGCCTTAAATTAATAAAATCTATTTTCTGAAAGTATGTTGCATGAGATATGCATAAGATATTGCCATGAAATGGCCTTTATGGGTTAAAAATTTTTTTGGATGAAACTTTCTATATTTGTTTTCTAAATATGTTGATAGAAGAACTCCCAAAAATATATATACGTTTAAAAGTATCTCAAAGTAAAATTGATACTAAATATATTAATGTTCTCATTAATGGTTATTCCATGAGAAAATCAAAGCAGCTCAAAATTGTTTATCTATATAGACTGAATTTATATAATTATATCTGACTTACATGATGTCAAATAATCCACATACAGATTGGTTTTCAAAATCTTAGAAAATTTTAGGATAAAATAGCTTCTCTAATCTTCTATATTAAGCATTTTTCTTTAATTGTAAATTGTAAATGAAATTAAACATGATTATGGAACTTAAGTAGCATGAGTCACTTGTTAAACAAAGATACTTTTTAACACTTTCTAATCTCTGATCAGATTATTATTGATTAGTGATTAGAAATGATTTTTTTATATTTTATTATTTTGTAGATACATAGTATCAATATTTTGTTATTTTGTACATATATTAGCAAAAAAGTCTTGTTACACAATTTTGTTGTTGATGATTCATTGTTTCTTGCTCAACAATGTTTTTGATGCAGTTGATCACCTCAACAGCATCTTGTTTTATAAATGTAGTAGTATCTAAAAAGTCTGAAAGCTTGAGAGCTTTTGGTTTTCATATGTGTAGAGGGGAACAAGATATTTGTTCTTGATTGAATTTATTTCTTCCTCATCTTCATTACTACTTTACTTCAGCAATGATGTCATCTTCAAATAAATGTTTACAAACTGCTATGTCATTGTCAACATTGACAAAAAAATTTTCAAATAACACTTCATTTCTTGTTACTGTAATAAAATCATCTGTCTTCAATATAGTCAATGGATTCTGATGGAAATTCCAGATTGTTTAAAGCATCAACAACTTGTTGATCAAAACTTGCTTTTGTAAAGTAATTTTCAATTTTGTGAAACTTCATTCCAAGGTTTATTAATCATTCACCTTGCTGCATCTAAGAGGTTCACTTCAAGAACAAAAGAGGTTTATCTTCAATAACATTTCATCTGTTTTCTGATAAGCTTTCTGTATCTCAGTTTAAAGTTTTGAATGGTTTCCTGATCAGATTGGTAATATTAAATTCTTTTGCAAGTTTTAATTTTTTTTCTGTTTTTTTAACACTATGTAGTGTGACCACTTGGCATTTTTCATCCTAATTTTTATTCAGTTCAATTGAAGTGACAGCAGCACCCAGTATTCCCAGGTTGTCTCCATCCCAATCTATTTTCTTTTGCTTTTCTCCAATCTTTACAATGAATACCTATTCTGCTATCAACAAATTTTAATTTTCTCTTGTTTATCATTTCTGTCTACTTCAGAAGGAAAACAGTTAATACACTGATTAAACTGGTTACAATCAGTGATGAAAATGTCAGCATGCAATTCAAACTATACAGTAAATTTTAAAAATAATAATTTTAAACTGCTAAGATTTGGTTGTTAATCTGTGTTTAAGAATTAGATCATTACTGTCATGAAGTGTCATTAAAATTTTGAATTTTATTGATATGTTGTGTAATCAGAACCACAATTGTATACAATACTACAATATGATCTTTAACTTTTTTAATAATAATGTCTGTCCTTTTGCAAAGGAAATCAAACAAAATTAGATATGAAATAGTCTCAGAATCTTAAGTTTCCTATTAGCAAAATTGAAGTCAAATTGGGACAAAAATAAAATTTGAGTTAATGAAGTTTGCCTTATTGAGAGTATATTGTATTTTCAAATCAAAATATAGTATAATAATTGTCATTTATTATTGTTTATTATACTGATGGAAATATTAAACTTTAATTTATAATAGAAGTAGTACTATTGGTTATTTTATTATTAAATATTGTAGTTTATTATTTCATGGATGTTTTTATTAATCTAACATACAAATTTCAGGATACAAAATGTAAGTGATATGGCTACTGTGTTAGCAGATAAACCTTCTGAATATTCTTATTTCAATAATAATTTACTTTCTGGTTGGGCAGGACCTAAACATTGGAAATTATTTAATCAAAACAAAGGTAATAATGTATATTTTATTTATTTTTTCACTTTGTTTTATAATAATGTGTATTGTTTAAGTGAAAATAATAAGAATAATATAATAAATACTTTTTTAAAGTATTTATTATATTAAAAAGTAAAATTCATATGATCTCTCAAAAGAAATTCATAAAATTAATATACTGAATAGTAAGAAAAATTTAATATTCTAATATAGATAATTTGTGTGTCTATATTTCTAAATGTAAATCTGTTTGTCCATTATAGAAATTAAAGAAAAACTGTTTACAGGCCGAAAAGGGATCTAATAGATATAACTTTTTGCAAGGAATGTAATAGTGCAGTTTAAAATTACTAAAATGGTATTTCTGCATAGTTATTAATTAAAATTTATTATACATATAAAAGAATAATTATTAAAAAAATGTCATACATAGCCAATCAGAGTTTCATTTATGGCACTTGATCTATATTCAGTCAATCATATAAGTCTAACTTCACACTCCAGAAGTTTTGCCATTATTTGTCTCATGCTTTGAAGATTTAATTGATGATTTGAGTACTTGCATCACATTTTGATTTAAAAGTTCATGTATTTTTGATAATAGCTACATATTTACTAAATACTTTTCTAATTAGTTTTTAAGCTGAGAGGAGTTTGAGATAAAAATGAATGCTGATAATGCAACACACATGTTTTGTTGCAGCTCAGTTCTACTATGCCTTTTAAAATTTATTTTCTAATTTTCACAAGCCAAATTGTGTGAAAGTTGTAGGTAGGCAGGTAGCAAATGCTTTGTATATTTCATATACAGGGGTTGGACAAAATAATTCAAACACCAACAAAAGATCACTTTTTGTTTATTAATAAGAGGTATGATTCCTTTTGCAGATAATATAACTAAAATACATTGAGGAATATACAAACAAATCATTAATATCATATGGCAAAAATCTTAATGTCAATTTTGTACCATTTTTCAACCAATACTGATGTAATTCCTTGAAAGAAGCAAGCAGTGGAAATCTGCTCTAATCTTTTTCTCAAGAAAGCCCCCAGAGGCTCAATAATATTTAAGTCTAGCAATTGGGGTGGCCAAGGTAGATGCTTAAGTTTAGTTTCATGCTTCTTGAACCAAGATTGAACACACTCAATAATGTGGATAGGAGCATTATCATCCTGGAAGATTGCATTGCCATCTGGAAACAAAGTTTGGATCATGGAATGGAGTTGGTCACAGAATATGCAGAGTCCTCCAGACTGTTACTTTACCTTCAAAGATGACTATTGGACCCAACAAGTTGAAAGATATTGGACCCCAAATCATACAATAATCTTTGCCATGCTTGAGGCTGGGTTACACCTAGTGATCTCCAGATATAAACATAACTGGAAGTGGGAAACAGTGAAAGTTGACTCATCAGAGTATTTTGATGATATCACATGTTTTCATGTCTAGTGTTTATGTTTTGTACTCTTTTTACTACTGCACATGCTGTTTGATGTTTCCTGGAGTCAACAAAGGTTTGGCTATCACAGCCCTGCCATTGATTTTATGTACGCAGTGCATATCAGACTGTTTTCACTGATACTGATACCCTTGCACTTGCAACCAATTCTACAGTAATTTGCACTGCTGTAGTTTTATGTTTTCTCTTTACAATTCTGTAAAGTGCTTTTCTGTCTCTCTCATCTAGTTTTGACTTTTGACCACAGATGCTTCTGTTGTTAGATGTTTTGGTCTTTGCATACTGAGATGTGATCAAGGAAACAGTAAATCCTACTATCTTACCAAGTTACTGAGTTGATGGGTTTACTACAGTAAACCCATCAACTCAGTAACTTGGGTTAGAGAAACTTGACAGGCAAAAACAATCATTCCAGGAAATCTGTTAGGTCTGACATAATCACACCCCAAAATCAGGCAAATAGTTTTTTCAACAGCAAAAGTAATGAAGTTTAATGATATGGTAAAGTAATGATATAAGTAATGAAAACAAAGAAAAACAAGGGTGTATCTGTGATTGCACGTTTCAGGAAGAGTTTAGTTTGACTATGCAAAATGGAGGATGTTCAAATTATTTTGTTCAGCCCCTTTTTGTATATGTAAAAGTAGGCCTTTTTCTATTATTCGTAAGTGATTTGTCAAATACATTATGCTTGTTTTTTGCCCAAAGGCCATAGTTTGGACACACTGATCTAAAACAATATCTAGATGGAAATCACGTTTTAGTATATATAAATTATTTTATTGAAATACTGTTTATAGCTAACAACTAAATTTTTATTACATCTATGATAGCTAAACTTCAATACTTATCATACCCTTTGTTTGGAAAAAGTTAAAGTAGAAAATAACAGACTAATATTTGCTATGCCACTTTTATTTGATTAAAGATTCATTTTAGCCATCGTAGATTGATAAAAATTTAAACCAAATAATGAGGATAAAAATTTATTATCTGTAATTGACACTAGGAACTTGTTCAACGGATAACTGAATTTTTAATGTTATATGATTTGGATTGTTCATAAGTTTTATATTTCTAATAAAATCTTAATATGCTTTTTACTTGGATAATTACACATATCATTAAGATCTCTAATTGAATTTTTTTTATTAAATTGTAATTGATCAGTCTTAGCCAAAGGTGATATTGATAAACTGCAGTAGTAATTAAATTTTAAAAAAGCAAAAATGAGATTGTAAATTTTTTTTAATTATTAAGAATTAATTATTTTGTATATAAAATAAAAAAACATTTTATTTATAATTGTAATTAATATGTTGAGTTTTATATAATTTAACTTTTTTAGCAATGTTAAAAAATCCAACAATGAATTGCTCAACTTTTCCAGCAACATTTGGTGGTGCCATCTGTTATTATATTTTTCTAAAAAAAAAACTTATTATGTTTTTAACCTGTCCTGCATTGTTCCTGAAAATATTCGTGTTGACCTCATTGATTTACGTGGATGATCCTGAATATTTTCATGTCTACATCGGAATGTTTTTGATACTAGATGTCGCTATGCATCACAATTTTTATATTAAAATGAAGTTTTGAAATATAATATTTTTTTATTACTATATTTTTCAATATATTTATTTTGTTTGTGCAACATTAAAAAATAATTTTTAATGACACAGTAAACACAATTATTATTTAAAAAAAAAAAATTTTGGCTTAACATTGACAAAAATTCAACATGGCGTCACAGGGTACAGATAAAAATTTCAACACAACATCAAATAGGTTAATTATTATAAAAAGACAAAAAGCTTAATTTTGAAGATAGGGGTGGATTTTATAAAAAATTCTAAATGCTAATAACCAGTAAAATCTTCACAAAGTCCAATCCTACTGGAGATACACATGACTTTCATTATCCCCCATCCCTTTGACATTTGACCACTAAAATTTAATAGCTTCAATCCCCCTAATAACAAACTTCTCTGCAAAATTTCAGAAATTTCCGATAAAAAGTGTAGGAGTTATTAAGCTTCAAACATGGTGAACAAAATTGTGCCCCCCACATTCAAACACTAACATCCATACGTATAGAAATTTACTCCAAATTTGTTTGTGTTTCTTGATATTTCAAGGTGTCCTAAGTCCAAAAACATAAAAATCCGAGGTGTCATTTTTTGCTGGATTGTCATACTTTCCCTCTGCATAACAGCCCAGAAAGTAAAATTTTTTAAATCTCTCTCCATTCTGTGAGTACTAAGGCTTTTTTGCAAGCCCATTATGGATTTAGTCAAGCCCCCAGTAGAGCAGCTGGATGATGAGGGATGGAGTCCAACACATCCGGACAGACCACTCCCCAGAAAAATTCTGTGAGTTTTGAAATGGAATTTTCCTGAATTTGATTCCTGATCTCCAGAGTGGTAGGCACCTGCTTTAACCACTTGGCCATCTGGTTGCTCTTAATAAAAATATTAATGCTCCATGCTCCATTAATAATAAAATTCTGTTAAAAAAATACACATGCATATAATATATGACCTTTTTAAAATTATTTTACTTGTCTTTAATTTTTTTAGCAAAGCCTGATTCATCTGAGAAATCTAATGAGAATAAGAGAAAAACAATAAAAGTCTTTAAACTTGACTATAATAAAGAAAATAATTTTGATGATCACTTTGTGAAAGCTTCAAAATCAATTAAATTATCTGAGAAAACCATGGAAAATTGGAATGAAGAAAAGGTTACTCTACCAAATGATCTTCATTATGATATTAGAAAACTTATTCAAATATTTTTAAAACCTATTACAGTAAGTTTTTCAAAAATTCATTATATTATAGTCTATTTATTATACAGAAGTATTGTTTATCCCTTATTTAATTATAACAATTAAAAAGTACCTGCTTATTTTTATGCGTTTAACTTTATAAAAGTAAGCAGCTATTTATTAATTAACTAACATTTAAGTATATATTATTCATTTGATTTATATATTATTTTTACATTAACACTCCAAATGTATATTAAGAAATAAAGTTTTAATAAATGTTGTTAATTTGAATGATTTCAAAAAGTGTATGTTCTCCTCAAATAATGTAAAGTTTATGTAAGTGAGCTTTTTATAAAAGAATGAAGTTACTCTTGTTATCAGTTAATTTTTTTTCTTTTTTTTTTTTGTTCAAGTACTGTGAGTTGAGTTCTTTTCTATTGTTTATTAACATTGATGAATAATCCTTTGTTTTTCTGAATTTTTTCTTTGTAATTAAGCATTTTAATCTCATTTAATCTTTTATGTCATAGATTATAAGAAGTGTGCAATGCCATAATGTTATAAATACCAAAAAAAAAAAACTTTTCAGGATAGATAAAAAACACTTTTTCTAATGAATGGATTTATTTCAATTTTACAATAAAATGGTAAAAACTTGCTAGGTTACAAATTCTCTGGAATATCAAAATTATGTAAATATAAGCCATAATCTTTTAAGTGCCAAAAGTCACGACTTACACACTGGCACTTTAAACATTATATCTTCACATAAATTCATCTTCAAAATACAACTACTTACAGTGCCAATATTGCCACAATATTTTTTTGTGGCAGAAAGCATTGCATTTAGAATTCAATTCTTTTAATAAAATGTATTTAGAGAAAAATGGCATTTACAACATTATGGCATTGCACACTTCATATATTATCAAAAGTATAATTTTTCTGTTGTTTTTAGTATTTACTTGGTTTTTCAGTTAAAAAATTTGAAATTTAGTAAAATTTTAAATATTAAAAATAAATGCATCAGAACTTTTCAGATCATATATAATATCAGACAAAAAATAGAGATTGATGCTGTAACTCTTATTAACATGATTCAGGAAATCCTTTGTGATTGTCTTCAAATGAGTCATCTTCAGTTACATACAATAATTTAAAGCAATGATACAGATTTTATATGCTTTCTATTCCATGAGCACTAAGAGACCCTTTTAATGAAGCCCATTATGGGTTCAGCTAGGTTCACCATCTGACATTTGGGTGGTAAGAGATAGAGCCCAACATATCTGGGACAGCATATCTTTCCTGAAAATTTCCTGGGGCTTGTGACTAGAGGATTTGATCGGGGATCTCAAAAATCGGGATCCCGACCACTTTTCAGTCCCAAAATTTTCAGGATTAAGTTTTCCTAATCCCGAGATTTTCGGAATTGACATCATTTTAAAAAAAGTTGCAAAATAGACTGCATGAAGCGAAACGTTCAGTGCCAGTGCTTTTAACAGAATTGCTTACCTATCATTTTAATATAAAATACAAGAAATTTTCTTCCAAGCAAGCAACAGAAATTAACCTAGTGAGCTTGCGATGCTTGCTTGGAATAAAACTTCTTGTATTTTCAACTAAAATGATAGGCAAGCAGTTCTCACTGGGTTACTTGGTAATATACTTCATTTTTGTATTTTTGAATTTTCACGGGCGCCAATCGATTTTCTGGCGCAGTCGAGAGCACTACTCAGTGCGTTTTACCTGTCAATGTGTCAGCCATCTTGTTTTGCCAGTGTGATTAATATAGACCCGACACCTCTCTGCTTAGGGGGGTTGACCTTAGGTGAAAAGGTTATAACCCTCGCCTTGCCCGCAATCTGTCAGGATGATGCGAGAAAGTCTTTTTACGTTTCGGGATAGTGGTTTGCTGGACGCTGAGAGACTCACACAGAGACCGAATTTACAAAATTAACGCGTTTATTTTTTGAAAAACATGCTTACAATGATCGAAACAATCGGGATTGTAGCCTTTACTCCTACAATCCCGATCCGTGTCGACCGGACTGTTTTCTTCCATCCTCCCCGTGTCCTCGAAGCTTATAAGTATTTACTAACGATTCCTCCAACTTCCATCAAACCTAAACGCGTTTTCTCAGCAGCTGCATATATGTGCAACAAATTGAGAAGCAGACTTGGTGATGAGACACTGGATGCGTTGTTATTTCTCAGATCATATTTTCGCAATTCAAATTAGAATGTTCCTATTAGATTAGTTTTCTTTATATTTAAGAAAAATGTGACTGATTAATATTATTTTTAAATACTTTTTGCTAAGAAACTTACTTTACTACCTACTTACTAGGTTGTTATATGAAAGTAGTCTATTTAGTCGATGTTAAGAGAGATTTTTGTTAATTTTCAACGTTTATTTGCATAGTTTGTTACATAAAGGTTTTTTCAATTTACGTGAGTTTAAAGAGATCTCAGTGATGCTTAAAAAAGAATAAATTTAACATGAAGACAGTGATTTTAAGTCTGGTTAGTCTGACTGTAAGTCTGATTAGTTAGAGTGATTAAATTAACTAGATATACACCTAGTTAATTTAATCACTCTAATTAACCGTAAAATACGTTGATTTTTGTCTAAATTTTGATTTTTGATTTCTGTAAGATTTTCTTATTTTTTATTAACCCTCAATACCGAAATAATCCCGGGATCCCGGGATTGAATAAGTATAATCCCGAAATCCCGGGATTAGAAATAAGGCCCGGGATCGAATCCCCTACTTGTGACCCATCTTGATTTGTTCTTGAATCCTCTAGAACAGAAGATTGACAACTTGGCTATCTAACTGCCCACCTCTTCTATCAACACATAATGGATTACTTTGAGCATAAACTTAATCTTTGGGAGGAGGTTGAAATTGAAAGGAGCAAGATCTAGTGAATTATAAGATGGGCAATCACACTGATTTTTCGTATTGGTCTCAAACTGCTTTATAAATGAAACATTATGAATGATAAGTTGCAAGATCCACCCATTTCTTGGCAGTTATCGTCTCACTTGTTTGAATAATTTTGTCAATATTTCAATATACAGTAGAGCATCGATTATCTGACTTAATTTGGGACTCAGGTTGGTCAGATAACTGAAAAAATCGGATAACCGAAAAGAAGGAAAAAAATACACTATTAGTATAGTATATTAGGATATTAGTATATCCCATGTAATTAGTTTATTAGTATATCACTATTATTAACCAACTTCGCATTGAATTTTCATCAATGTTTAGCCTAACAAATTTTTTTAAAATAATAATTATCGCTATTGTATCGTTAAAAATTATTTTTAAATTATTTTATTGCTCACGAAACAAATAACCACTCATAATTAGAAAATTAAGTTTCGTTTAAATACTGGCCTCCCTTCAATGGTTGAGCTGTTGATGGCAGCTAAAACACGCAAAAATTTAACAAAAATAATATTAAAGTAGCCAAGACATAGCCAAATATTGTAATGCCACATCGCTAGTGGACATTTGAAATTTGCCGACTAGGACAGTCGGTTAACCAATGTGATGGTTAATCGGAGGTCGGATAATCGATGCTCTACTGTAATAGTGTTGATTTCCTACTTGCTGCTGGAAACACATTCAACCCTCTCAATGACCTGGATCTTGAACAAAGTAATGAACAGGGCACTCATCATTTTTCACACTTTCTCTGTCTTCTGAAAATCATTTGTACCATTTAGAAACAAGTGCATAAGTTATATAATATTTACTATATGTCTCAATAATTGAAAGTTTGCTTTAAATGTCTTTGGTGATCAGAAACCTGATGTTAATTTGTTTGATTCAAAAAAAATGAGTAACATTTTCTGATCAAGCACAATGATATATCTATTCATTCCCGTCTACTAAATAATGTGAACAGGGTGAAAGTTGCTAAATACTTGCAAATACTGTCTGTATATTTTTCTCCCAATATTAGTTCCTGAATAAGAATTAATCTCTACTTTTGTATCTGACCTCCTACACATGCTCTGAAAAATTAAGATGCATTGTAAAAATAAATTTGTGAGTTTAATGTTGATGTATAGCATTATATATTTTCTTACACATCTTTTTTAATATATGTATAAAGCTTACATGTTATTAAGTATATTAATATTAACATTAATTTATAGATTATTGTTTTAATATTTTTGTACAATTAACCTCTAGATTAAACATAATAGAAATCCTATGGAAGTAAAAGGAATTAATTATAATTATGATAATCCAAATGACTGTGAAAATTACTGTCCTGACATTCAGGTAATTTTAATTTTAGAATATTTATATATTAAAAATTGTATTTTAATTAAAATTAGTTTACATTAAATGGTATTGTTTGAAATATCTTATTTTAACATTTCAATTTTGTTACTTAACATTCCCAGTTTTGATAAGCTATATTGTATCCTTAACTTTATCAAAGTATTAACTAAACTAAAGATAGAAAACAAATAATTAAATACATTATTCATACATAATTGCTTATTTTACTTCATTACAATTATAATGTTAATAGTATAAAAAATAAAGAAAAAACACTAGATATTTGATGCCTTCAGGTTTGCATTTTTGAGATAATATACCAATTTATAATTAGGATGTATATACTTATCTGAAAAATTGGAAAAATCGGAAGATTTCAAGGAATTTTTTTGGTACTTCCAACCATAATAAAATTGCTTATTTGAAATGTCACCACAACTGATAATTATAAAATAAAAAATTATTTTGCAGATTATTTTTATGCAAATACTTTACTCAAATAAGATAATTAGATAAAAACTGCCTTCAAAATAATTTTTTTATTTTATATTAGACGAATTACTTATTCAAATAAGTGTGTCAATAGTAGTCAATGACACTGATAGTTAATTCATGCACAATTGAAAATGTATTGTGTTTGGAACTTGCAGAGACAGATTTGGATTCTCTGGTAGTCTTGAGATATATTTTACTGATGTTTCAACACTTAGCAAGCATGTGTTTTGTGAAGATAAATAATTTATTTAAACACAGTAGAATCCAGTTATTATTACTGCTGAGTTATTAACAGGAGTGGCAGGCAAACAATACAGGATGAATTACGTATTAAGTAGTAATAATAATGTATTACTTGAAGATTTATTAATTATAAATGTTTTAATTGTTTTAACATATCTTTTTAATGCTAGAATCAATAAAATCAGAATGCCTGCTAATTGTAGTTTTATTCACTTACCATGCTTAATGTTAACATAGAGTTTATTATTAGTGTAGGTGAGTCTTAAAATGATTATATTAAATGGATTCTGTTTATGAAGATACTTGAAACATTTTAATGTAAATATCAATTCACTGATTCAAAAACTGAATTTGAATCTAAATGATTAAGAAAAATGTTTATTAACTTTTATATCAAATGCTATGATATGACTTATAAAAAGTTAAGAAATGTTTTTAATCTCTTATTTATTTAAAATAATAAATTTTTAAAATTAACTTTGTTAAACTTCTGGCAGTATTTAAAATATCTACGTAGTAATTATAAATCTATATCAGGGGTGTCCAACCTTTTTGTTTCTTTGGGCCACATTGGAAGAAGTCATGGAGTTTTGGGCCATAAGTATAATATAGCCTATATACTTGTGGCCCAAGTATATTTTGGCCCAATCCTTAAATATACTTGTATATTTAAAGATTATATACTTGTATACTTGTATATACTTGTATATTTAAGGATTGGGCCAAAGAATTTATTAAGGATTGGCCTAATATTTAAGAACTAACATGTCTAGATTATAGTAATAAGCATTAAAACTTTATTACGAATAAGGATATTTTAAAAAATTACTTCTACAGACACTTTCAATTTTTATTTAGAAATAAATAAATTCATTTATTATAAAGGAAATAAACAAAAATTTATTTGAAAAACACAAATATTTGTTTTATTTGGGTCTCTAATTAATAAAAAGTGACGAAACATCATTTTAAAGTGCATTTTTATTCAACTAATATATTTATAAATAATGTGTAACCCAAAAAGTAGCCAATGCGTCAAATGATATTTTTTACGCCAAACTAATAAAAAGGTAGCCAAATTTGGCGCAAAGTAGCCAAATCTTGCAACGCTGGAAGGAGTACTAAATAAAGCTGGAGTTGGGACTCAAAGGATTATAGACCCAAAGCAAGAAAAGGAGAGAAAGGACCCAAGATAAAAAAGTGAGGAAAGTTGAAAAATTAAGGGTCAATATTTGCATAACAAAAGGTATATTTAACCTTTCTCATTTAATAAGAAAGAGCTTTATTCGTATATTTAACCTTTCTCATTATCATTTTATCTTTTGGCCTTTCTCTCCTTTCCCCGAATTTGAGTCTATACTCCTTTGAGTCACAACTTCAGTTTTATTTAATATACCTTCCTCATTCACACATTTCCAAGTATTTGAAAATGTTTCCTTTCCACTCAAAATTAAAATATGTATAAAGGTTTACTGCTTTGTGAAACGTCTTTTTTGAATTTGTGCCGTTCAAATAAATAAATAAATAAATAAAATAAAATAAAAAAAATCTGTCGGTTTTGTTTACACGTTTATTGGGCCGCATTGGAACTTGCCTTGGGCTGCATGCGGGCCGCGGGTTGGACACCCCTGATCTATATCTTTAAGATGTGTGGTGAAAACTATGTGGAAATAAAGATTGAAACATTGCAAAAAAATAAATAAATTATTTATAAAAATCTCTTTGTTATTAAGTGTATTTAAATTCTTTAATAAAACAGTTTCATTAATAGATGAAAATCAATAAAATATTTGAAATATCATTGAAATTAATAAGCTAGCTTTTCTTATTATAATATAATTACAAATACTTCAGCAATTTTTTTAAGACTAGTATTTGTTTTTATATTCTTTCAACTACCATTTATAAGTTTAAAAAAAAAAAAGGAATGGAAGGTGTCTAGTTCTTGACATTTGCCTTAAAGATTAAAAACAATTGTGTTAACACTGCAGTAGCTTGATAAAATAAGTTTTTTGGGATCTGCTTATCCCATATCTTTTGCTCATCTCTCAAAGTTCTAAATACTTGTTAATTCAAGTTCAGGAAAAATATGCTGTTTTAAGCCTGAAAAAAACCTGAAAGTTTGAAAGTTATCTTAAAAAACTAATGTTATATTTCTAGACTGATCTGTTATCATGTTTTAACTTTTTTCCAATCTATGCAGAATAATAATATTTTGTACAGATTAAGAATACAGTTAAAACATGAAAAATGTCATACAGATGTTTTTGTATTGCTTTCTATTTCTAAATGTATAATAAATAAATAGATTAAAATTAAGTTTTAATTTAAAAATATATATTTTAATCACATTATAAGATTACAGAAAAATTAGTATTATTATTATTATTATTCGATATGAATAATAAAATATGAATATAAAATAAAATGCTCCAAAACACTGAATTATATGTTACAATGAATTTAAGATTTTTTACAACAATGATTTTATTTGCAAATATTTACAAATAAAATTTTCCTCATTTGAATTTCTCATATTGTAAATATTAATGACATTCATATTTTTAATTAAATTTAAAATGAATAATTGCTGTATTTTTACTGAACTCTGAATTTTCAGTAAATACATATTGTTACTTCATTTGAAAATGAAGGAATATCTAATTCTATCTGTTTAAGATCATCAAAACATATAAATAGCTGATAAGATTAAATATGAGGATCAGTCAAAAATAATGTTTCCTATTTTGTGTCTCTTTTATTTTATAAGAAAACTAAGTGAAATTCACTTGTATGTAGCCACAACTTTTATGAGTAAGTTCTCACCTTTCAATATAACCTCCATCTTTTCCAACACTTTTTGTTTACCTTTTAACAAGGGCACATATTTCCATGTAGTAAAAATCACTGTCCTTCCCTCTCAGGTATTGGTACATGGAATTTTTTAGGTTCTCCTCATCTTAAAAGTGATGCTCACAATGTTCTTCCCTTAATGGCTCAAACAGATGATAGTCTGATGGTGCTAAGTTAGGACCATATGGTGGATGAGGCAAGACCTCTCATCCAATTTTTGCAATTTTATGAGTGGTTTGCATACTGGTATGTGGTCTTGCATTGTCATGCAAAAGAACATTCACTGAACTCAACTTACCAAAGATATGCTTTAAGCTTCAGGTTAATTTATAATGTGTACAAATATAATTTTATTTTATTGGACTAGTTTTCAGATTGTAGACCTATAGATTTCTACTGTTGTCCATCTGTCTGTCCTTCCTTAATTTCAAGAATGGGATTAGATATTTAAAAATTCAGACCAGATATGGAAAGCTTAGGGGCAGGAGGCTTCAATTAACTATATACAAACTTTCAGGCTGAACTGGAAGTCACATGACTTTTTAAATTAAAATATGATTAAAAATTGCAGCCTGATATTGTGATGATGTCACAATAAGTAATTGCTTGTTATTTTTTAAATTTTAATATATAGGATGTAACAGAAAGGTGTGTAAAAAAATTTGAGGGATTGTAGAGAGGTTAATTTCAATTCAAAAACTCTAGGCCATTTTTTGATTTGAAGTGTTCATTTTGAGTTATAAGCAATTTTAAAATGTGATGTCACTTCCTGTTTAGCAAAACACCATCTGATGTACAAAAATATTTGTTGATAATGCACGTTGGTTTGATATCCCTTACTTATTATCTGCAATTTTATTAATTTGTTGCTTGGATTTTGAGTCTTTTTTGTAGCAATACAGGTTATAATGGGTGTGAGGGAAAATAAAGCTTGCATTAATAATTTATCAATCAACATTCTTACAGACATCATTGAACAATTTTATTTAAATAACAAATCATTTATTTACAAAAACTGTTTGAAATGGCATCCATCAGCTTAAATACAGGCTTCAGCCCATCGACGTAAGGATAGATGGACATGTTCAAACACTCCTGGACAATTTTTGATTATATCACAACCATCTTCAATTCTTTACTTGAGTTCTACGAGATTCATAACCTCTGTGCCATATACCATAGATTTTAAATAGCCCCAAACAAAAAAATCTAGGGGATTCAGATCAGATGACCATGCATATGGAGAGCATATATTTTAAATTTATAAAATTTTTTAAAATATGATTAAAACCCGACATTGTGACAATGTCACAATAAATAATTGCTTGTTTTATATATAGACTTGTTCTGTGGATAACAATATTAAATGAAAATAACATTCAATAGCAATTTTTAAATAAATTTTATTTTTATTAATATTTTAAGGATGATAGTGATATTGAGAATGAAAAAACAAGATTTCCAAATGTAAATTTTACATGCTTTGAAGCTACTCAGATTGGTGAAAAGATAGATATGATAACTCCCAGTTGTGAAGATAACTCAGGAGGATTAGGAAATCTTATAGAGGAACCACAAAGGGTAAGAATTTTTAATATTTAATGAATATTTTGAATGCTCATATTACAAAAATACTTATTTATTGATAATTACAAAAATTATTATTTTAGTAAATATATCTACTAAACAAATGCCTAATAATATATGTATACAAAAGCAATGAAATAAAAAGAGGACTGATTAAAAAGTAGTGTAAGAAATTTGTCAACATCATGAGTTGGACTTGGCTAAACTGTGAGCTAACCATGCTTGCTATGCCCTGTTACATTTAACTAGGAGAAACGTTTAAACCTTTGAGTATTTATTTACTATGTACTTCAGAGAGAATTTGAAACCAAATAAACAAACTTGTGGAATACTTATATTAGAAGACCAAAATTTGATTTTTCATAACTGTATCAAGAAAATAATAAGATAATTCAGTCTTTTGAAATAAAGTTCTGAAAAATTTTACAGGAGTTTCTGTTCAACACATATATCAGTCTTTTTTCAGATAACTTGTTATACAACAATATTCTTTTATTAAAAATGTCTGATGGACTGTACTTATTAAAAAATTTGTAAACATAAATATTCAAAAACTAACTACTAATTAATGAAATGATTAAACACTAACATTTAATGAAATTTTAAAAAATATCTTATTTTTGAAAACATTACATAATAGGGATTTTATTTGTTAATTCATATACTTTTAAACAAGTTTTCCAAAATCCAATAAGGTTACTATCAGGTGATTGATTGAATAAATAGAAAGAGAGCCTACAGCACAAAGAATTTGGTAATGCCACAAATCTGGCAAGATGGAAAACTTTTTTTTTCTTTCACTTAGAACTTTTTTTGAGTAGATTATTTACTTATACCACATTGGCCATCTTTTTTAATCACATTTTGAATTGCTCCAATTTCAGAAGTGTTGCAATCTGTCCGTAAGATTTTCCTTGTCCATGATACAAAAATCAGTTTTCTCACTTCTCTTTTGCTCAGTTCTTTTCCTTTTGGAATTTTGTAAAATCTCAAATGATACAATTATTATGGTAGTGGTATATGATGCACATTTTAATTTGTTTATTACCTATGTAGTACATTCAATTATATGATGTATTACACACCCTGTATGTGTAATTATTTTACAGCAGATTTGGTTGTAATTTTTATATTAATTCATCACTCAGAAATTTAAATATGATTTTTATTTATAAATATGATGTATTTGTGAATAATTATTTATAATAATGAGCTTGTTAATTGTTAAATTTGTATAAATAAACACTGTGCGAAGTTATATATAAATTTGAAATGTATGTATAATTTCTTTATAGACTTTAATTTTAACAATTATATAGGTATCATAAATTGTTTTATTAATATCTGAATCATAAATCATTGTCATTGTAGTTTTATTTTATATATATATATANAATAGATTTTAAAAATTGATATACATTATGCAAGAACAGCAAAAAAAATAGACATTAAACGATTGAAGAAACACATGTGGAAAATATTAATCAGTCATCATAAAGATACTGAGGTATTTTAGTGTTAACTTAAAAAATCAATGATAAATTTATTTTAAATATTAAAAACAAATTTGATTATTATAATTTTAAACTTACAGAATACAATTGATAAAGAAATCGTTAATCAGAAAATGGACAATAAAATATATTTCTCTAGATTATATAACATACTTCCTAATTATTTATCTTCTACTATGATAAATAATTTAAGTGTTCCCATTGCATTTGTTTCATTACTACATTTGGTAAATGAACAGGTCAGTAAATAAAAATGATAAAAATATACATTTATATATTATGTAAACAAACTATGACAATGATGTATTACATTTTTCTTTTTTTTTTTTCCTTTCTTTCAGAATCTTGCATTGGAAGGACATTCAGATCTGTGTGATTTTATTATTTATCAACAATAACCTTTTACTTTTTAAGTTGTACATAAATATATATACATAAAGAGAGATTTCTAATCATAACACAATTTGTCATATAAAATCATTGTATAAGTATTTCTAAATGACTTTTTAAAGAATTGATATAAATTATAAAAAGACATCACAAAATAATCTCTATTTTCATTATTGAGAAGATTCATTCAATATAGAAATATTTTATATATATATTTGTTAATTGTAAAAACATTAAAAATGCTTTTGTTAAAATAAACTAATTTTATTTTTATGTTAAATATTATTTTATAAATGGCAGGCTGAATAACATTATACATAATTAAAAAAACTGATGGAACAGGTTGAAAAGTAAAGCTTAGCAAAAACATGTAAATATAAAAATGTTTTTGAAAGTTTGAACCAGAATACTAGAATCACATTCAACAGTAAAAGTGCACATTACATAGACTACAACTGTAGGAAGTTTTGGATGAAGCAATGTCACCATGATAATAAATCAGGAAAAGAAGCATTGTCATAGAAAAAGGCTTCAAACTGTACTTATTGTCTTAAAGTTGTTGCACCTAAAATAATTTGGCTGAACACTACATCACCTTTGAGCAATATTAGTGAAGAAACTTTAAGGCACAAAGTATAGCTTGAAGCCTTTTTCTATGATGATGCTTATTTTCCTGATTTTATTTTGGTGGGTGATATTGCTTTATCCAAAACTTCCTGCACTTGTCAGTGTAATGTTCTAGTTAGCATAACTTCTACTTACTGCATAAATAAAGCACTTGTAATAATTATAGTTTATTTATTCAGTATGTTGATACATTTTAAGCTATATGTTGTTCTAGATATATAAGAATAAATATAAAATCAGTGGTATAATTTTTTAAAATGTGTAATATAGTTGACATACAAATTGTGTGAGAAGACAATTAAGTTAAAAGCAATAAAAATAGTTTCTCTTTTTGTCTATGATTTCATTATTTTTGTTATTCCTTCTGCAAATGAATGTATTTTAGCTTTGTAAATATGTGAAATATTTGAATGTGGACTTGTACTTTATTTTGATTTGTATTATATAAGTATATACAGTACAAGTATTATTACATATTGGCATTAACATTAATAATTTGTTAATGCCAATATGTAATAATACTTGTACTGTATATACTTATATAATATAAATCAAAATAAAGTACAAGTCCACATTCAAATATTTCACNCAATCATTGCTGCTGTGATAAATTTTTATGTATAAAAAGAGATTGATTCATAAAAATAAAACTCAAGAAGTAAGGTTTAAAGGAAATTTTATTTTTGATTTATTGTTAATTTAAAACATAATTTTAGACTTTCTAATCTTTTGTATTCAGAACAGTTCACTACTATTACTACTACAAAAATTAATCAGTAATCATCCAAATAAATGAAGCATACTATCTTCATAGTTAATTATTATTGAGGAGTTAAATTTTTTGATTACTTATCAATAATGACTACATAAACAGAAATTATGCATGTTGTACTAGAAAATGGATTTTAAGGAATCTTGTACAGTACAATATAATTTTAAAATGCAAATAGTAATTTAAATATATGTAAGAAACAAACTAAAAGTCAAATATATTAAAACAAATATTCAGGATATTCTCAAAGTCTATTCTCACCAAATATAACTTATTTAACAAAAATAATTTGTGATGTTAATTGAGGCAAAACATGGCAAAACCTCTTCTATGTGACTTAGAGTTGATGTTCATTCTCAAAATTTGATGGTTCAATTTTGATTAAACTATGTCATTTTTTATTGTGATGAGGAATCTAAAAGTGCAGTAAGGGTCCATTTAAATGTAAAAAGTCAGGGATCATGACTTTGTTTTCAATATATGGTGGGGTCAAAGTGAAAAAGTCCATGCTCCCTGATGTGACTGAGAGAGCCTAACAGAATTTAGGGGTCAAAAATAAAAACATTGCGTGCGCATAATGGAAAATAGGTGTAAAAAATGAACAAAGCAATTGCCATTGATTACTTTGTTCTTGGATCATCTCTCCATGTTGGCAAGTGCAAAGTTTGCCTGTCCACAATCACCAGCTGCAAGGATCACTTTTCTTTCTGGCTCTGCCTCAATTCTATCACAATGAGACAGTCATGCAATGTCCTAGTTAGCATAACTTCTACTTACTGCATAAATAAAGAACTTGTAATAATTATAGTTTATTTATTCAGTATGTTGATACATTTTAAGCTGTATATTGTTCAAGATATATAGGAATAAATATAAAATCAGTGATTTAATTTTTAAAAATATGTAATATAGTGTATATGTTACAGTCAAAACCCGTTTTTAGTTAGAACGCGTTTTAAATAGTTGAAACTAGTTTATACTGAATGTGTTTGTTAAAACCCGTTTTGTCTAGTTAAAACTAGTTTATACTGAATGTGTTTGTTAAAACCCGTTTTGTCTAGTTAAAACTAGTTTTAACTCAAATTCATTTTTGACTAGCAGTAAATTCTAGTTAGTTTTAACTAAAGAAAACGTGTTTTAACAAAGACATCCAGTATAAACTAGTTTTAACTAGTTAAAACGCATCCTAACTAAAAACTGGTCTGACTGCAACGCATAGAGTGATTCGGGGTAAGATGGTAAGCGGGGGAAGATGCCTAATTTTTGATATTTTCAAACGGTGACGTCACATATTGACATGTATTTGTATGATAAATCGTTGAGCCAATATTGAGTGAGAAAAGCTGTAGTTGGCTACCATTATTTCATTTTCTACATCCGAGAAGAATAAAAGCTAGATAAAAACGAAGTTTTTGTTGTGAAATGTTTCTAGAATGATTTTAAACTAAAAGTTAAAATGGAATTTATTAAAACTTGCTAAAAACAATTAATGTGTGATGTAGTTAAGTTTCTAAAGTTTCCATTGTCAGCTACCGACGATCCCGGTCGGATATGCTGGAGCACGTGACTCTACTAGGCACCTTACCCCAACAAATAGAAAATATGCTACATTTTCCTTGGGGTAACGTGCCTATTTTTTGTTAATTGATTTCCAATATGCCTATTTTTAATAAATTTTTGTTTTCTCGTTTTATTGCAGGATATGCATAGAAATTATATAAGGACTTCTCAAAAAAGTTTTTGGACTGAAAAAAGCTTTCAGCTAGCTATAGAACACGTTAGAACGGGCGGAAACTTAACAATACTTAT